GTGTAGAGTTGTGACAGATGAACATCTCCTGTCCTGTCAGTGTAGAGTTGTGACAGATGAACATCTCCAGTGTAGAGTTGTGACAGATGGACATCTCCTGTTGCCAGTGTAGAGTTGTGACAGATGAACATTTCATGTTGTCAGTGTAGAGTTGTGACAGATGAACATCTCCTGTTGTCACTGTAGAGTTGTGATAGATGAACATCTCCTGGTGCCAGTGTAGAGTTGTGACAGATGGACATGTCCTGTTGTCAGTGTAGAATTGTGACAGATGAAAATCTCCTGTTGCCAGTGTAGAGTTGTGATAGATGAACATCTCCTGCCCTGTTGCCAGTGTAGAGTTGTGACAGATGAACATCTCCTGTTCTCCTGTTGCCAGTGTAGAGTTGTGACAGATGAACATCTCATGTTGCCAGTGTAGAGTTGTGATAGATGGACATCTCATGTTGTCAGTGTAGAGTTGTGACAGATGGACATCTCCTGTTGTCCTGTTGTGTGTAGAGTTGTGATAGATGAACATCTCCTGTTGTCAGTGTAGAGTTGTGATAGATGAACATCTCCTGTTGTCAGTGTCAGATGACAGATGAACATCTCCTGTTGTCAGTGTAGAGTTGTGATAGATGAACATCTCCTGTTGTCAGTGTAGAGTTGTGACAGATGAACATCTTCTGTTGTCAGTGTAGAGTTGTGACAGATGGACATCTTCTGTTGTCAGTGTAGAGTTGTGACAGATGAACATCTCCTGTTGCCAGTGTAGAGTTGTGACAGATGAACATCTCATGTTGTCAGTGTAGAGTTGTGACAGATGAACATCTCATGTTGTCAGTGTGGAGTTGTGACAGATGAACATATCCTGTTGTCAGTGTAGAGGTGTGATAGATGAACTTCTCCTGTTGTCAGTGTAGAGTAGTGACAGATGAACATCTCCTGTCGTCAGTGTAGAGTATTGACAGATGAACATCTTCTGTTGTCAGTGTAGAGTTGTGACAGATGGACATCTCCTGTTGTCAGTGTAGAGTTGTGACAGATGAACATCTCCTGTTGCCGGTGTAGAGTAGTGACAGATGAACATCTCATGTTGCCAGTGTAGAGTTGTGACAGATGGACATCTCCTGTTGTCAGTGTAGAGTTGTGACGGATGAACATCTCCTATTGTCAGTGTGGAGTTGTGACAGATGAACATCTCCTGTTGTCAGTGTAGAGTTGTGACAGATGAACATCTCCTGTTGTCAGTGTAGAGTTGTGATAGATGAACATCTCCTGTTGTCAGTGTAGAGTTCTGGCAGATGAACATCTCCTGTTGCCAGTGTAGAGTAGTGACAGATGGACATCTCATGTTGCCAGTGTAGAGTTGTTATAGATGAACATCTCCTGTTGCCAGTGTAGAGTTGTGACAGATGAACGTCTCATGTCGTCAGTGCAGAGTTGTGACAGATGGACATCTCAAGTCGTCAGTGTGGAGTTGGGTTGAATGAACATCTCATGTTGCCAGTGTAGAGTTGTGATAGATGAACATCTCCTGTTGTCAGTGTAGAGTTGTGACAGATGAACACCTCCTGTCGTCAGTGTAGAGTTGTGACAGATGTCATCTCATGTTGCCAGTGTAGAGTTGTGATAGATGAACATCTCCTGTTGCCAGTGTAGAGTTGTGACAGATGAACATCTCCTGTCGTCAGTGTAGAGTTGTGACAGATGAACATCTCCTGTTGTCAGTGTAGAGTTGTGACAGATGAACATCTTCTGTTGCCAGTGTAGAGTTGTGACAGTGATCAGAGTGTGGACATCTCCTGTTGTCAGTGTAGAGTTGTGACAAATGAACATCTCCTGTTGCCAGTGTAGAGTTGTGACAGATGAACATCTCCTGTTTCCAGTGTAGTGTTGTGATAGATGAACATCTCCTGTTGCCAGTGTAGAGTAGTGACAGATGGACATCTCATGTTGCCAGTGTAGAGTTGTTATAGATGAACATCTCATGTTGCCAGTGTGGAGTTGTGACAGATGAACGTCTCATGTCGTCAGTGCAGAGTTGTGACAGATGGACATCTCATGTCGTCAGTGTGGAGTTGGGACTAATGAACATCTCCTGTTGCCAGTGTAGAGTTGTGATAGATGAACATCTCATGTTGCCAGTGTAGAGTTGTGATAGATGAACACCTCCTGTCGTCAGTGTAGAGTTGTGCCAGATGAACATCTCATGCTGCCAGTGTAGAGTAGTGACAGATGGACATCTCATGCTGCCAGTGTAGAGTTGTGATAGATGAACATCTCCTGTTGCCAGTGTAGAGTTGTGACAGATGAACATCTCATGTTGCCAGTGTAGAGTTGTGACAGATGGACATCTCCTGTTGTCAGTGTAGAGTTGTGACAGATGAACATCTCCTGTTGCCAGTGTAGAGTTGTGATAGATGAACATCTCCTGTTGCCAGTGTAGAGTTGTGATAGATGAACATCTCCTGTTGCCAGTGTAGAGTTGTGATAGATGAACATCTCCTGTTGCCAGTGTAGAGTTGTGATAGATGAACATCTCCTGTTGCCAGTGTAGAGTTGTGACAGATGACATCTCATGTCATCAGTTCTGTTGCCAGTGTAGAGTTAGAGTGTGATAGATGAACATCTCCTGTTGCCACTGTAGAGTTGTGATAGATGAACACCTCCTGTCGACAGTGTAGAGTTGTGCCAGATGAACATCTCATGTTGCCAGTGTAGAGTTGTGATAGATGAACATCTCCTGTTGTCAGTGTAGAGTTGTGACAGATGAACATCTCCTGTTGCCAGTGTAGAGTTGTGACAGATGAACATCTCCTGTTGCCAGTGTAGAGTTGTGACAGATGAACATCTCCTGTTGTCAGTGTAGAGTTGTGACAGATGAACATCTCCTGTTGTCAGTGTAGAGTTGTGACAGATGAACATCTCCTGTTGTCAGTGTAGAGTTGTGACAGATGAACATCTCCTGTTGCCAGTGTAGAGTTGTGACAGATGAACATCTCCTGTTGCCAGTGTAGAGTTGTGACAGATAGAGTTGTGACAGATGAACATCTCAGTGTAGAGTTGTGACAGATGAACATCTCCTGTTGTCAGTGTAGAGTTGTGACAGATGAACATCTCCTGTTGTCAGTGTAGAGTTGTGACAGATGAACATCTCCTGTTGCCAGTGTAGAGTTGTGACAGATGAACATCTCCTGTTGTCAGTGTAGAGTTGTGACAGATGAACATCTCCTGTTGCCAGTGTAGAGTTGTGACAGATGAACATCTCCTGTTGCCAGTGTAGAGTTGTGACAGATGAACATCTCCTGTTGTCAGTGTAGAGTTGTGACAGATGAACATCTCCTGTTGTCAGTGTAGAGTTGTGACAGATGAACATCTCCTGTTGTCAGTGTAGAGTTGTGACAGATGAACATCTCCTGTTGCCAGTGTAGAGTTGTGATAGATGAACATCTCCTGTTGTCAGTGTAGAGTTGTGACAGATGAACATCTCCTGTTGTCAGTGTAGAGTTGTGACAGATGAACATCTCCTGTTGCCAGTGTAGAGTTGTGATAGATGAACATCTCCTGTTGTCAGTGTAGAGTTGTGACAGATGAACACCTCCTGTCGTCAGTGTAGAGTTGTGACAGATGTCATCTCATGTTGCCAGTGTAGAGTTGTGATAGATGAACATCTCCTGTTGCCAGTGTAGAGTTGTGACAGATGAACATCTCCTGTCGTCAGTGTAGAGTTGTGACAGATGAACATCTCATGTTGTCAGTGTAGAGTTGTGACAGATGAACATCTTCTGTTGCCAGTGTAGAGTTGTGACAGATGGACATCTCCTGTTGTCAGTGTAGAGTTGTGACAAATGAACATCTCCTGTTGCCAGTGTAGAGTTGTGACAGATGAACATCTCCTGTTTCCAGTGTAGTGTTGTGATAGATGAACATCTCCTGTTGCCAGTGTAGAGTAGTGACAGATGGACATCTCATGTTGCCAGTGTAGAGTTGTTATAGATGAACATCTCATGTTGCCAGTGTGGAGTTGTGACAGATGAACGTCTCATGTCGTCAGTGCAGAGTTGTGACAGATGGACATCTCATGTCGTCAGCGTGGAGTTGGGACTAATGAACATCTCCTGTTGCCAGTGTAGAGTTGTGATAGATGAACATCTCATGTTGCCAGTGTAGAGTTGTGATAGATGAACACCTCCTGTCGTCAGTGTGGAGTTGTGACAGATGAACATCTCCTGTTGCCACTGTAGAGTTGTGACAGATGAACATCTCCTGTTGCCAGTGTAGAGTAGTGACAGATGAACATCTCCTGTTGTCAGTGTAGGGTTGTGATAGATGAACATCTCCTGTTGTCAGTGTAGAGTTATGACAGATGAACATCTCCTGTTGCCAGTGTAGAGTAGTGACAGATGGACATCTCATGTTGCCAGTGTAGAGTTGTTATAGATGAACATCTCCTGTTGCCAGTGTAGAGTTGTGACAGATGAACATCTCATGTCGTCAGTGCAGAGTTGTGACAGATGGACATCTCAAGTCGTCAGTGTAGAGTTGGGACGAATGAACATCTCATGTTGCCAGTGTAGAGTTGTGATAGATGAACATCTCCTGTTGTCAGTGTAGAGTTGTGACAGATGAACACCTCCTGTCGTCAGTGTAGAGTAGTGACAGATGTCATCTCATGTTGCCAGTGTAGAGTTGTGATAGATGAACATCTCCTGTTGCCAGTGTAGAGTTGTGACAGATGAACATCTCCTGTCGTCAATGTAGAGTTGTGACAGATGAACATCTCATGTTGGCAGTGTAGCGTTGTGACAGATGGACATCTTCTGTTGCCAGTGTAGAGTTGTGACAGATGGACATCTCCTGTTGGCAGTGTAGAGTTGTGACAGATGAACATCTCATGTTGCCAGTGTAGAGTTGTGACAGATGAACATCTTCTGTTGCCAGTGTAGAGTTGTGATAGATGAACATCTCCTGTTGCCAGTGTAGAGTTGTTATAGATGAACATCTCATGTTGCCAGTGTGGAGTTGTGACAGATGAACGTCTCATGTCGTCAGTGCAGAGTTGTGACAGATGGACATCTCCTGTCGTCAGTGTGGAGTTGGGACTAATTAACATCTCCTGTTGCCAGTGTAGAGTTGTGATAGATGAACATCTTCTGTTGCCAGTGTAGAGTTGTGATAGATGAACATCTCCTGTTGCCACTGTAGAGTTGTGATAGATGAACACCTCCTGTCGACAGTGTAGAGTTGTGACAGATGAACATCTCCTGTTGCCAGTGTAGAGTTGTGACAGATGAACATCTTCTGTTGCCAGTGTAGAGTTGTGATAGATGAACATCTCCTGTTGCCACTGTAGAGTTGTGATAGATGAACACCTCCTGTCGACAGTGTAGAGTTGTGCCAGATGAACATCTCATGTTGTGTAGAGTTGTGATAGATGAACACAGTGTAGAGTTGTGCCAGATGAACAGATGTTGCCAGTGTAGAGTTGTGATAGATGACACATCTGCCTGTTGTCAGTGTAGAGTTGTGACAGATGAACATCTCCTGTTGCCAGTGTAGAGTTGTGACAGATGAACATCTCCTGTTGCCAGTGTAGAGTTGTGACAGATGAACATCTCCTGTTGTCAGTGTAGAGTTGTGACAGATGAACATCTCCTGTTGTCAGTGTAGAGTTGTGACAGATGAACATCTCCTGTTGTCAGTGTAGAGTTGTGACAGATGAACATCTCCTGTTGTCAGTGTAGAGTTGTGACAGATGAACATCTCCTGTTGTCAGTGTAGAGTTGTGACAGATGAACATCTCCTGTTGCCAGTGTAGAGTTGTGATAGATGAACATCTCCTGTTGTCAGTGTAGAGTTGTGACAGATGAACATCTCCTGTTGTCAGTGTAGAGTTGTGACAGATGAACATCTCCTGTTGCCAGTGTAGAGTTGTGATAGATGAACATCTCCTGTTGTCAGTGTAGAGTTGTGACAGATGAACATCTCCTGTTGTCAGTGTAGAGTTGTGACAGATGAACATCTCATGTCGCAAGTGTAGAATTGTGACAGATGAACACCTCCTGTTGTCAGTGTAGAGTTGTGACAGATGAACATCTCCTGTTGCCAGTGTACAGTTGTGACAGATAGACATCTCATGTCGTCAGTGTAGAGTTGTGACGCCACCCCCAACATCTGTCCCCACAGACAGGGGTCTGACGCCACCTCCAACGTCTGTCCCCACAGACAGGGGTCTGACGCCACCTCCAACGTCTGTCCCCACTGACAGGGTTCTAACGCCACCTCCAACATCTGTCCCCGCAGACAGGGGTCTGACGCCACCTCCAACATCTGTCCCCACATACAGGGGTCTGACGCCACCTCCAACATCTGTCCCCACAGACAGGGGTCTTACGCCACCTCTAACATCTGTCCCTGCAGACAGGGGTCTGACGCCACCTCCAACATCTGTCCCCACAGACAGGGGTCTGACGCCACCTCCAACATCTGTCCCCACAGACAGGGGTCTGACGCCACCTCTAACATCTGTCCCCGCAGACAGGGGTCTGACGCCAGTTGCAACATCTGTCCCCACAGACAGGGGTCTGACGCCACCTCCAACATCTGTCCCCACAGACAGGGGTCTGACGCCACCTCTAACATCTGTCCCCGCAGACAGGGGTCTGACGCCACCTCTAACATCTGTCCCCACAGACAGGGGTCTGACGCCACCTCCAACATCTGTCCCCACAGACAGGGGTCTGACGCCACCTCTAACATCTGTCTCCACAGACAGGGGTCTGACGCCACCTCTAATAAGAAGACCACATTGCTTTATATAGAAATGAATTATACCAAAGACAAAGATGTTAATTTTGTAATTATGAGAAATACATCAATGCGTTTAATTGTCATTGTTATGTGATAATGTAATTTATAATTAGGGTTAGCTTCCAAAATTGTGTTCCACAGGAGATATTGCTTGTGTGAGATCAAATGTGACATTGCGTGACATTAGATTTTGTACAATGTCCTGACAATGCTATGACGTCGTGAACTTTATGACGTCAAAATGCTATGACATCGCTGCACTACAATTCTAATGGCAATGCCGTGTTCAGAGATGTGCAATTTTTCATTGAATACTAATGAAGAGTGATTTTTATGATAAATAGAACCCCACCCCCGTGTTTTCTGATATCAAATATATCAACACTCGTTGATTAGAGTAGAAGTATCCTCGGCAAGCCTCGGAACTTTGTAACTTTATCAACTCGTGGTGATATTTTGATGTCAAAAGACACTCGGGTGAGATTATCTATTTAACAATGTCTTAATTGTATCTGGTTTTTGTTTTTATGATTCAGGAAAAGCTCATAAGTCATGATTTTGTAGCAATCAGTTGTCAGGAATTCATTACTATTTATTGTGAGCATTGTTTTGATGTGAATATTGCGATGCTTTGTCGTCATTTGTGCCCTCTCATCCTCGAGAACAGTTACAGGCTTGCATCATTTGGAAATGCATTGAATATATTTTGACCATTTTGGCAGTTTTACTGCTGTTGCTGTTCTGACATTATTTCATTAATACTGCTACTATTTTCTATATTGCTCTAGTATTGTTATACTGCTGTGGTAATTTTTCATCTTTATATTTTGTACTGTTACTCTGTTACGTTGTGCTAGACTTGCAGTGATTTATATTGAGCCAGTTTGGAACAATGATTTATTATGTAACATTTCTTTGATTTGTTTTATTGCACGTTGAATCCGTTTGGGTGTAGATTTCCTGATTAACAAGGCTCGCTTTGTTGTTTGATTGTTTCATATCGAGGTCTTTAACGGCCTAACTCCCGGCTAACAAGGGTCGCTTTGTTGTTTGTTGGTTTCATATCGAGGTCTTTAACGGACTAACGCCCGGCTAACAAGGCTCGCTTTGTTGTTTGTTGGTTTCATATCGAGGTCTTTAACGAACTAACAGCCGGCTAACAAGGGTTGCTTTGTTGTTTGTTGGTTTTAAATCGAGGTCTTTAACGGAATAACGCCCGCCTAACAAGGCTCGCTTTGTTGTTTGTTGGTTTTATATCGAGGTCTTTAACGGACTAGCTCCCGGCTAACAAGGGTCGCTTTGTTGTTTGTTGGCTTCATATCGAGATCTTTAATGGACTAACGCCTGGCTAACAAGGCTCGCTTTGTTGTTTGTTGGTTTTATATCAAGGTCTTTAACGGACTAGCGCCCGGCTAACAAGGGTCGCTTTGTTGTTTGTTGGTTTCATATCGAGGTCTTTAACGGACTAACGCCCGGCTAACAAGGCCCGCTTTGTTGTTTGTTGGTTTCATATCGAGATCTTTAACAGACTAACCCCCAGCTAACAAGGGTCGCTTTGTTGTTTGTTGGTTTCATATCGAGATCTTTAACAGACTAACTCCCGGCTTACAAGGGTCTCTTTGATGTTTGTTGGTTTCATATCGAGGTCCTTAACGGACTAACTCCCGGCTTACAAGGGTCGCTTTGATGTTTGTTGGTTTCATATCGAGGTCTTTAACAGACTGACCCCTGGTTAAGCTGGGTCACTTTGTTGTTTGTTGGTTTCATATTGAGGTCCTTATCGGACTGACCCCCAGTTGAGTTGGGTCGCTTTGTTGTTTGTTGGTTTCATATCAAGGTCTTTAACTAACTAACTCCTCGTTAACAAGGGTCGCTTTGATGTTGGTTGGTTTCATATCGAGGTCTTTAACAGACTGACCCCCGGTTAAGTTGGGTCACTTTGTTGTTTGTTGGTTTCATATTGAGGTCTTTACGGACGGACTTTGTTGTTGGTTGGTTTCATATCAAGGTCTTTAACTCCTCGGTTAACAAGGGTCGCTTTGTTGTTTGTTGGTTTCATATCAAGGTCTTTAACGGACTAGCTCCTGGCTTACAAGGGTCGTTTTGTTGTTTGTTGGTTTCATATCAAGGTTTTTAACTGACTAACTCCCTGCTAAAAAGGCTTGCTTTGTTCTTTGTTGGTTTAATATTGAGGTCTTTAACTCACTCACTTCCGGTTAACAAGGGTCGCTTTGTCCTTTTTTGGTTTCATATCGAGGTCTTTAACGAACTAACCGCCGGCTAACAAGGGTCGCTTTGTTGTTTGTTGGTTTTAATATCGAGGTCTTTAACGGACTAACTCGCTAACAAGGGTCCCGGTTAACAAGGGTCGCTTTGTCCTTTTTTGGTTTCATATCGAGGTCTTTAACGGACTAACAGCCGGCTAACAAGGGTCGCTTTGTTGTTTGTTGGTTTTAAATCGAGGTCTTTAACGGACTAACTCCCGGCTAACAAGGGTCGCTTTGTTGTTTGTTGGTTTCATATCGAGGTCTTTAACGGACTAACCCCGGCTAACAAGGGTCGCTTTGTTGTTTGTTGGTTTCATATCGAGGTCTTTAACGGACTAACGGGCTAACAAGGGTCGCTTTGTTGTTTGTTGGCTATCGAGGTCTTTAAAGACTAACTCCCTTTGTTGTTTGTTGGTTTTATACTGAGGTCTTTAACTGACTAACTAATGAGGTCTTTAACCCTGGCTAACAAGGGTCGCTTGTTGTTTTGTTGGTTTCATATGGAGGTCTTTAACGGACTAACGCCCGGCTTACTCCCGGCTTAACAAGGGTCGCTTTGTTGTTTGTTGGGGTCAAGGGTCGCTTTGTTGTTTGTTGGTTTCATATCGAGGTCTTTAACGGACTAACTCTTTGTTTGTTTGTTGGCTAACAAAGGTCGCTTTGTTGTTTGTTGGTTTCATATCGAGGTCTTTAACGGACTAACGCCCGGCTAACAAGGGTCGCTTTGTTGTTTGTTGGTTTCATATCGAGATCTTTAACAGACTAACTCCCAGCTAACAAAGGTCGCTTTGTTGTTTGTTGGTTTCATATCGAGGTCTTTAACGGAATAACTCCCGGCTTACAAGGGTCTCTTTGTTGTTTGTTGGTTTCATATCGAGGTCTTTAACGGACTAACGCCCGGCTAACAAGGGTCGCTTTGTTGTTTGTTGGTTTCATATCGAGATCTTTAACAGACTAAACCCCAGCTAACAAGGGTCGCTTTGTTGTTTGTTTGTTTCATATCGAGGTCTTTAACGGAATAACTCCCGGCTTACAAGGGTCTCTTTGTTGTTTGTTGGTTTCATATCAAGGTCCTTAACGGACTAACTCCCGGCTAACAAGGGTCGCTTTGATGTTTGTTGATTTTAAATTGAGGTCTTTAACAGACTGACCCCCGATTAAGTTGGGTCACTTTGTTGTTTGTTGGTTTCATATTGAGGTCCTTATCGGACTGACCCCCAGTTGAGTTGGGACGCTTTGTTGTTTGTTGGTTTCATATCGAGGTCTTTAACGGACTAACTCCTGGTTAACAAGGGTCGCTTTGATGTTGGTTGGTTTCATATCGAGGTCTTTAACTGACTGACCCCTGGTTAAGTTGGGTCACTTTGTTGTTTGTTGGTTTCATATTGAGGTCTTTAACGGAGTGACCCCGGTTATGTTGGGTCGCTTTGTTGTTTGTTGGTTTCATATCAAGGTCTTTAACGGTATAACTCCCGGCTTACAAGGGTCTCTTTGTTGTTTGTTGGTTTCATATGGAGGTCCTTAACGGACTAACTCCCAGCTAACAAGGCTCGCTTTGTTGTTTGTTGGTTTCATATCGAGATCTTTAACAGACTAACCCGTCGCTAACAAGGGTCGCTTTGTTGTTTGTTGGTTTCATATCGAGGTCTTTAACGGAATAACTCCCGGCTTACAAGGGTCGCTTTGTTGTTTGTTGGTTTCATGTCAACGTCCTTAACGGACTAACTCCCGGCTAACAAGGGTCGCTTTGATGTTTGTTGGTTTCATATTGAGGTCTTTAACAGACTGACCCCCGATTAAGTTGGCTCACTTTGTTGTTTGTTGGTTTCACATTGAGGTCCTTATGGGACTGACCCCCAGTTGAGTTGGGACGCTTTGTTGTTTGTTGGTTTCCTATCGAGGTCTTTAACTGACTAACTCCTGGTTAACAAGGGTCGCTTTGAAGTTTGTTGGTTTCATATCGAGGTCTTTAACAGAGTGACCCCCGGTTAAGTTGGGTCACTTTGTTGTTTGTTGGTTTCATATCGAGGTCATTAACTGATTAAATCCCGGTTAACAAGGGTCGCTGTGTTGTTTGTTGGTTTCATATCGAGGTCATTAACTGATTAAATCCTGGTTAACAAGGGTCGCTGTGTTGTTTGATGGTTTCAGATCGAGGTCATTAACTGATTAAATCCCAGTTAACAAGGGTCGCTGTGTTGTTTGATGGTTTCAGATCGAGGTCATTAACTGATTAAATCCCGGTTAACAAGGGTCGCTGTGTTGTTTGATGGTTTCAGATCGAGGTCATTAACTGATTAAATCCCAGTTAACAAGGGTCGCTGTGTTGTTTGATGGTTTCAGATCGAGGTCATTAACTGATTAAATCCTGGTTAACAAGGGTCGCTGTGTTGTTTGATGGTTTCAGATCGAGGTCATTAACTGATTAAATCCCGGTTAACAAGGGTCGCTGTGTTGTTTGATGGTTTCAGATCGAGGTCATTAACTGATTAAATCCCGGTTAACAAGGGTCGCTGTGTTGTTTGATGGTTTCATATCGAGGTCATTAACTGATTAAATCCCAGTTAACAAGGGTCGCTGTGTTGTTTGATGGTTTCAGATCGAGGTCATTAACTGATTAACTCCCGGTTAACAAGGGTCGCTGTGTTGTTTGATGGTTTAAGATCGAGGTCATAAACTGATTAAATCCTGGTTAACAAGGGTCGCTGTGTTGTTTGATGGTTTCAGATCGAGGTCATTAACGG